ACACTCAACAAAACAACCTCATTGTCTTCACACAGGAAACTAAAATCAGATAAAACTGTAAGAAATATTAACGAGAAGAATGAGAACCAAACTAAGAAAACTGGAAACACGGGTCCCGTAACTAAAACATCGGTCAGTAAATTATCAATAGCGCGGAAAATGACGAGAAAAAGAGTGAATTCGGGCGACAAATCTCGTGAGAAGCGAACTCGAAGTCAATCGTGTCATAAATGCTTTGGCATTAAAGGCATCAAAGGTTGCGCTAAATGTAACAAAAGTATGGAATCGCGAAAAATCACCGAAAAAGCAAAGATGTGTCGAAAATTACTTAAAAAGAGATATTGTTTGACTCGAAGTCGAAATAAATGAATGTTTGGATCTGTTATTTCGATGTCACGAACTGAATGGTCAGTGAAGTAATGAATGCACGAAAGATACTCCTATTTGTGACAACATTTATGATAATAACGATTACCGGTATTTCACTTTACTTTTCATTAATCCCAACATAGAAACCAATGCTTCCCATATATGGCTACAAAAAGAGATCAATTTTATTTTGTAATACATTTGAATTAATTTAAATCATTAAGAATTGACAATTGTATCCCAAACTACTAGTTAGTGAATATGTATCATATAATATGTTTTTCATTTCAATTAATTTATGATTCTGTTATAAATATAGTATAAAAACGAAGTAATAAAGTATGCAATTGTTGTTAATAATAGATGATATTTAGAGACTATTTAATAAACAAAACACTATTTGTATTGAAAATCATTAATTAGTTATTAATAACTGTTATTAACTTATTTGTTATAATTTTATTGACACCTCAAATGCACATCAATTAAATTCATTTGAAATTCACTTAATATTACATAAACATAATATCTGAATACCTGTATATTAATCTGTATTATATTATTGTTAAAATTGAATAAAAATTTCTAAACTAGATCACACCTTCTCAATTACCTTTTCAATTACATGAACAAATATTAAATCACATTACATTATTCATTTGTTCGTTTATATGTACAATGTCATTTTCTTATGGATACACATATTGGCCCACAATTGTAAACCCATTGGCCACATGTGTCCGATACCCCGGGTATATATTATTCACCTAGTTTATAAATAACCATGAACAGTAATTAATTTAATGCAAGAGTAACCAGCTCTAATAGTAACTGTAAAAGTTCTAACTTATTCTACTCTAGTTAAAAGTTAAAAGTTTATTCTTTTTTTTAATAATAACTGTAATATTCATTAATCGATAGTTTATTAAAATTTTAATATAATTTAAACAAACTTTTGGTTCTAAATGTTAACAAACATATAAAATGCTGATTAAGTGCTGGCAATAAATGTCTGCAATTTATAAATCAAAGCGCGTTTGCAATCAATTCAACACAAATTATTGTCTCCTCTCAGCCGTCGTTGTATTCATTGAACACATGTTTGACTTGTTTTGAAAATTGATTTCAAAATCATTTCATTTCATGCTTTCATTTATTTTGTGTTTCATTTCATTTCAAATCATTTGTTAATTTGTTTACAATTTTGTCTTAAATTGTCTGAAATTATGGCCAAAAAGAGGAAATTTGTGCCAAAAAGTGCCACAAATGAGACAAAAGGTAAAAATGTGACCAAAAAAGGGTCGAAAACCACGGCTTCTGACAGCGATTCCGGCGACGACTTCGAGGACGACATGAATGACTTCCACGCGAAGAAAGACAAGCAATTGCTTAAGAGAAGCGCTTTGTCTCAAGACATTGATTCCGATGACGAGGACGCCTATGGAAGCGATGAAGAAGTAATGCCTTTCGACGAGTCGAGTGATAGCGACCCAGAAATGGACAGATTTGGGATCGAACTGAAGAAGGATGAGATGGCCAGTGATCTCGAGGACAGCGACGACGAGACGGTGGACACGACGGCCACCGCGTGGGGCAAAGAGAAGAAAGTCTTCTATAACACCGATTATGTGGACAAAGACTTTAGAAGTAAAGACCAATTGTTTAAAACTTTAGCGAAACTTATATTTCTGAATGAATTGATGTTTAATTGTATTTGTTTTATATAATGAAGAATACAATCAAAAGGACTCAGATTTGGCTCAATTCGAAGAGGAAGAAGCGCTTCAAATACAGAAACGTCTTCTCGAGTCAATCAACGAATCAGATGTTGGCCTCGATTTACTGGTCGGAGATATTGAGCCCAAAACGGGTTCAACTGATTGGACACATGAGGAGAAAGAAGAAGAGAAACTTCACATAAATCTCTCAAATTTAACGAAAAGACAAAAACTGGAAATTCTTAAGAAAGAGTCACCAGAATTGGAACCATTGATCACTGATTTTCAAACATATATGACTGAAATTAAAGACCGATTACTGCCTGTAATGGAAGCGATTAAAGACAAGAAGGTTTTCTATTTGAATGGTTTTGCATATATTGAAACGCGATTTCACTTAATAATCAATTACTGCATAAATATAAGCTTTTATATGAGTTTGAAGTGCAAACAGATATCAGTGAAAGAACATCCGGTATTAAAGCAAATGCTTTCTTTCAAAAAGCTATTAAACGAAATGAATTCAATCCAATCGTCCAATACTTCCATCGATAGAGACATTGATTCTGTTTTAGAGAAATTGAATTCCAAGAAAGACATCAAATTCTTCAGAAAACACACCAAAAAACAGAAGACCAGTGAAATCGAGAAAAGAGTTTCATTCGCTGACGATATGGCTGTGAGGGAAACGACGGCACCGGAAGGCCAACAGGAAGTGATGTCGGAAACGGATGAGGCGGCCAAACGAGGCATCACTTATGAAATGGCGAAAAACAAGGGATTGACTCCCAAACGAAAGAAGGAACTCAAGAATCCAAGAGTTAAGCACCGAATGAAATACAGAAAAGCGCAGATCAGGCGCAAGGGTCAGGTCCGCGAACCGCGTAAAGAACTCCAACGATATGGCGGAGAGATGTCTGGTATTAAGTCGGGTGTCGTTAAAAGTGTTAGATTTAAATAAATGGACGCATTATTACATTATTTTGTTCTAAAATTATATTTTTAATTCAATTTATGCTCAAAAATGGATTATTAAAAATAAAGGACAGAATAATAGAAAAATTATAATTTGATTCCCAAATTGAATCTTCAATTACTTCTTATAATATAATGGATAAAGAGTTGAAGTCTTAATATTTAATTAACAAATATATGTCGTGTTTTATGTTGCTTTCAATACGAATAATATTAATATTACAGCAAATGTGTGAACAATTCATGATTATTAAACAATTACTACCATTTGTTATAATCATATAATTGAAGGAATAATAATAATAATATTTTTAGCATAACATATATCTCTTTAAAGCCTCAATAATAAACTTCTAAATAATTTATCAATCGATAGGAAAATTAAATTAAATATAAAGAAAAGAAAGTGAAAGAGAGATAAAGTGAGGAAAAGAACTTATAATTGATTGTAATTTAAAGACAAAAGTCGATCAAAAAGTAATATAAATGATAAACCAATAAATGATTCCTTATATTCCGATTCAGACTGAATTGAATCACACGCTATAGTGTTAGGTATAGTTGGCTCTATGACAGCGCCGTTTGATGCACCTCTGCTTCTTCACGTCATTGCCCCCGAACTTGGGTTTATCCAAACAGTACAGACACTGACCGCAGTCGTCGGCCAAACAACCGGGACATTCGCGGCACCCGATCCGTCGGCTTCTAGTGATTGCAACGCCGTCTTCATTGAACTGCTGCTTCCGTTTGCCAGAACCCGCCGGCGAAGCCTTTATTACGATACCATTAGTGGCCGCCTTTGGGGTAACGGCTGCGGTGACCAAAGTGGTGAGCGTAGGCAGAGGTGTGTCCGGTCCGGGCTTGTCATCCGTTGAGATCTCTTGTTTGATGATTGGTTTAGCCATCAGTTTGGGCTTCGGATTGATTTTGATTTGAACGTTAGCGGGAATCTGGTTGATGAGAGCGCCGGCCACCGCGTTCTTGTCTCCCGGAGTCGCCGGCGACCTCTGAAATATCTTCGGGTGCTTTTTCGGGTCGATTATATATTTCTGTAGACACGCCTGCAATAGGCATGACTTGCATCGACCGCCGGGAACGTCGATCTTCAGCGAACAGTTCCCTAAAAAAGGTGACAATTTTAGTTCAAATTGTGGTCAAATCATTGCTAAAGACTACATACCATTGTTAGCGCACACGAACTTCGAAGGCTTCAGAAGATATCGGTAGAAGAATTTCGCACAACTCTCGCAACTGAAGACTCCATAGC